TTGATATTCGTTTTTTACGTTATTTTCGTCTTTTTTTCATTTTTTGTTTTACTTTCACAAAGTTAAAGAAGAAAATAGGAGAGGGAGACGTCAGAAGCGATCCACAAGGACCTGGCTTGAATTACCAACCTGATAGATAGGAGAGTAGATAGGGGAAACGACAACGGCAATCCGTAAGGATTTACTTGAACCAGTTGTCGTAACACAGAGAAGAAATGTTTGTAAACTAAGAAATGTAATAGTCATTCGTCACGACTGACAAATCGCGGGCAAAAGATATACATCATAGATCTTTACGCCTGCAACTATGACAGCAACAAACCCTATTAATGAGAAGGTTTCAGTGTTTTGTTGTGGATGGGTGAGTGAGTGAGTGTGTGTGTGTGTGCGTGTGTGAGCGACAGTGAGCGTGAACAAGAATGAAAGCGAGAGTGATCTCACACAGAGCGGAAATGTATGACAAACACGAAAATTAATGTTCAGTTTAAAAACAGTGCGATAAATTAGCAATGGAATTAATACAAAATTATTACATTTACCACACTGAATTAAACATAATATCGCTTATCTTTAAATGTTGAGGTAGCTATGTCTAGCTAGGCATGCAGACTTCATCGACGACATGTCTATACCCAAAATTACCGCACTATACGAAGCGAACTAATCGGGAAAAATGATATATAATCCACTCTATTCTGCGAATCTGTAATGGGTGCTCGTGACACGTCCTACGGGTATCTATCACGAATCACACGATCGCTTGGGATTTACCCAAACATGCGAGCGACTTCTAGTAGGTGAGAAGGGTGTGATTAATAAGCGAATAACGATTCTAGCTTAAACCCTAGTCCTACATTATTTAACGGACATACTTCGGGTCACCCGACTCAAGAATTGCCGATAGTACGAAATAACTTCGGTTATACCTGTATCTGCTATCGTTACGTCGAAGCGTAAATCTGTAAGGTATATACGCAACCCCGGGTTATATAAAAATAATCAATTTATATAAAATCGCGTTACAAGCTCCGTTCCAGCACCGATAGAACGTGTCACCCAATGAGCAATGCAACGATGTTTTTTACCCATGGTTTAAAACAACAACAATCAAATTACGGGAAAACCCAGCGGTCATCTCTTGGCCACAAATCGTACTTATGTACACGGTATATATATATATATATATATATATATATATATATATATATATATATATATATATATATGTATATATATATGTATATATATATATATAATTATATATATATATATATGAATATGTATATGTATATGTATATGTATATGTATATGTATATGCACATGCACATGCACATGCACATGCACATGCATATATATATATATATATATATATATATATATATATATATATATATATATATATATATATATATATATATATATATATATATATATATATATATATATATATATATATATATAGAGAGAGAGAGAGAGAGAGAGAGAGAGAGAGAGAGAGAGAGAGAGAGAGAGAGAGAGCGTTGTTGTCGTGGGGGGATCACTCCTGCCTTAGACCTCAGAACTCGTATCAACAAATTTTGCATGGTCTTTTCCTCTCCCCCTTTCATTTTCCTTCTCTTTTATATCCTCTTCCCCTGTACCATTAACTATTATATATATATATATATATATATATATATATATATATATATATATATATATATATATATATATATATATGCCGCGATAGCTCAGTGGTTTGAGCACTGGACTCCGACCCTCGTGGTCCCGGGTTCAATTCCCCGTCGCGGCAGTTGTAAAAAATGCCTACGCTGTACATATCGGCCTGAGAAATTAAACGCAGATGTCATAGTCACCGCCGTGGCACAAGTGTTAACGCGCCGAACCGCGATTGATTAGGAAGGGCATTCAATCAGGCAATGGTGACACCGCCATATAACCTCTCAATACTGAATTGAGAGAGGCCTATGTCCTGCAGTGGAATGAATGGCTGTTAAAAAAAAAAAAAAAAAAAAAAAAAAAAATATATATATATATATATATATATATATATATGTGTGTGTGTGTGTGTGTGTGTGTGTGTGTGTGTGTGTGTGTGTGTGTATGTGTGTGTGTGTGTGTGTGTGTGTTTGTGTGTGTGTGTGTGTGCGTACGGTTGTTTGTATGTATGTATGTATGTATGTCTGTGTGTGTGTGTATGTAAAAATATATGGTAGTATTCTTTCCAAAATGACAGTATTATCTAATGGAAATCTATAGGGCAAAAAGTACATTGACTAATACATAAATCAGCTTGTAATTAGGTACATTCCAGAAACTGGAACGCCTAGAACGGCGTTTGTCATGATGGTACATCTAGCTAAGTGGGAGGAACATGAGGGGTACAGTGCAGGGCCAGTGAGAAAAATAAGGAAGTTTAAGCTGATAGAAGGGATCAAGACCCCTTGCGTGCTTTTTTTTTGTCTGTGGCACAGGTGGTAGGTGGTAGTGTTTGTTGCCTACGTGGAGGAAGGCCTTTTTTATAACTCATCTTGCGGTGCTCTCTCGCTACGTCCATTGTGGTGAACAACGTTCTGGAGGATGTGAGATATCCTCTCTGAGAGGTTGGAATATCTTATCTGTTATGCATTGTTTCGTGTGCGGTGTTATACCCCATCTGTTGAAGGAGAGACCGAGTAGTTTCCCCGAGTTTCCATGGGGATGTCTGTGTTGTGTACTTGTATGTCTGGTGGGTTGAGTCTGGCTGTTGGGAGGAATTTCTGTGTGTTTGTTTGTATTTTCCATTTCTCGAATGTGTTTATGTTTGTGATGGCTGTTTCTGTGGCACGTTGCATGATGTGATTGAATTGCTGGGGTGTGTGATGATTTATGAGTTATGTCGTCTGCATATATGTAGTTGCTGAAACGTGCTGGGAGTGGAAGGTTTGCTATGGATAATATGAACAGTGTTAGTGATAGAATCCTCCTTTGCAGGCGTGGGCCTACAAGTTAATAATGTACGCTGAACCCGTATTGACGGGGATTGTGGATGTTATTTGTTTTAAGGCGTGTGTTTAGTCTGTTTATTATGATGCGTTCGATATTTCCCCGGGACTTCGAGCAAGGAGATCGGCCTGTAGTTAGTGGCATTATTGTAGCGCGACAGATTGCGATTACGAAATATCACAGCGTTGACCCGCCAACGACCCCTTCTCCTATCACTTTGCCCTCTTAAAGGGGAAGTCCAGCTGTTTCAGAAATATGTTATTTTCACGTTATCTTGTGAATAAATGTCAATATAATACAATCCATATTTCGTATTTTTTTCATCTTTATCGTTAGGTCATTTTTTGGCGATGTTGTAGGCTGAAAAACCTGCTGTAATAATCTGCTAGAAAAACGACGCCCAGTGGCCGTGACGTCACAAGGTGTATTGCTCGCGGCCATCTTAGCTGGTTAATGGGGTTGTCCATTGTGAGCTGTATCATTGTATTCTTAATTTGAAATATTGTGCTGTACAATGAGTGATATCACGGACATTGAGGATACACAGAGGATGCCGAAGAAGCCGAGAGTGGATGGAGGCAATCGTTGTGCAGCGTGGGGTTGCGGTACCTCGAAATTGAAGGACGGAGTTGGTGTGTTCAACTTTCCCGATGAGAAAAAATCCCCAGAACTTCTCAAGTATTGGTGTCGGCTTGTGCGGAATACTCGATCGGATTTTAAATTCATAAAAGGGACCTCAAGATTATGTGCAAATCCCTCTGACTCGGATCAGATAGAAAACCATTTGTTTATGAAGCTGATGGCCGAAAAGGACCCAAGTATTGCGAAGAAGACACGGAGGCTGGTCCCAAAGGCAACACCAAATCCGGATCTCTTTCCCAAACGATCAACTCATGGTACACCGCTGATGACAGATACTACAGTTCGGCCATCCAGGCCTAGGATTAGGAATAGACAAAGGCCTGGTGCAGCAGGGTAAGTGAATTAGGTAGCTACCTACCACCAACCACTTCCTACCAGCCCTCCTTTCTCACTTTCTGATACTGATAGATTATTCTTCCTTAGGTGGGGTATAGAAAGGCCTAGCTAACTTGATATCTACATGATGATTCAGAAAAAGTGCGGTGGCATAGGATGCCTTTTACCCCCATAAGTCATCATTACCAGTCGTACGCGGATGAAGGGGTACCCTGGGCATTTTCATGTCTATTTTGAGAACATTCTTATATTTTCCCGGGGCATACCCTATGTAGAAAATCATATGGGGAAAAAACTTGGCCTAATCCAGCCCTGCCACTAATATTTTTCTTTCTCTTCAGGTTGTGGATGCTGCCATCAAAGAAGCAGATGCAGATGCAGACGCAGACATGGCAGAGTTGGACGTTATGCCCGAGGCGGAGGAGTCTCCCCCGCCCTCACCTCTGTTTGTGCCCAAGATTGGTGTCCTTCATCAGATTAACATTATGGACTTTATTGCAGTATTGACTACTCATAAATAGTAGTTGATAAGTATAAAGACAGATCACCTCATATTGAAGCATTTTGTCATCCAATGGAATTCATCATGTAGTGCAGATTCAGGTAGTGAAGTTAAAATGTAGCAAAAGTTTTAAAGGCAAAATAATTGAAAACAACCATTGTATTTCAGGTCAAAGTTGACAACTATGTGCAGGTGAATAGAAGGAAGCCACATCGTTCTGTCAGAGTTCAATTAGTCCCAAATACCTTTTCTCAGGGTAAGTTAAAAGAATATTAGAACTTTGCCGTAAGTAAAGTACCTGTTATCTCCTACCTGTGTAATGTACATAGTTTGAAAATAATGTAAATGAAAATAAAAGTTGTTCCAGGAAAAAGTGCATTTTGCTCAAAATGATGTTGACATATTTTATTCATACATTTCAGGCACCCAAACAGACTTTTACAGCTGCTCTTGTGAAAGTGAGTCTTGTGAGTCGAGCAGAGCAACCTATCAGCATTGCCCCCTGTGCCTACGCCCAGTGTCCCAGATGTTATTCTCAGTACAATTTGAGACCTTTGATGATGCCGAGTCAAGCATTGAAACTGATGGTGAAGATGATGAAGACGGACAAATTAGAGAAATTGACAGCGACTATGAGCTACAGTGTTCAGATGGATTCACGGATGATGAGAGCAATTTCCCGACAGTCAGAATGAAGAAATGTTAGTAGAGCTTTGAGGCAACACTGCACTTGCTCCATAAAATTTGAAATGTCACTGAAATTAAAAGTTATGCAACATGGAATGTATAGGCTTACACAAATGCCACTATGCACCAGAAAGAACTGTTATCCATTTATGCAACTACCAGACTCATAATGGAATTCTAACTTTTAATGTCAGTATATGAAATTTAAAATGTGCTAAGCGGAGTATTCCTTATAATATTCATAAAAAGTGAATTTAAATACACTTAAAGTGTTAAATTTAACATTTTGATTGGAGGTCATAGCCTCCAATATTTATTTTAAAATTTGGATTAGAGGTTTAATTGTAACAATACCAGTAATGATCTTGTAAATTATTATAGCCATTTTTATTGCTGGTGTGATATAGGATTCCCATTTTTTACTTCCAGGAAGGACCCAGCCTCTGAAATTAAATACTTGGTATTCCACTCCTGTCTTATGCAGCTCTTTGCAGCATGTCCTGTGTGTTCGTCAGAGTCCTCAAGGGAGATAAAACAGATAGGCACATTCATTTCTGTGGAGCAGCGGTGCACTAATGAACAATGTTTATTTACAAGGTATGTGACAAATGTTATGACAGACAAAGTGACCATATATGGACTAACAATATTTGATGTGAAATGTTCTCGTATTTTGGCCTTGAGATAAGGCCCATCACCATTATAAATTAATAAACAGTGCTGTGAATTAATTTTGCCACACCCAGGAAACCTGTCACGTTTCCAAGTATTGAAAATTAAAAGGAAGACTTCCATTGCTGATGTAAAACTAGTGCAGAGTACTGTATAGTGGTCATGGACATACACCTTGTGATGTCATCACCGCGTGGTGGCGCGATTGCTGGTTTTGTAGCAGACGATGTTTTTGACGCTGAGATTCGGTGACAAAAAATGACCTGTTTAAGAAATACAGCAAGATATTGCTATAAACTTTTTTTGGGATCTTTCTTTTGTACCCTACCGACACTAAATGTGGAATGTTGTATGGGGGGACTGGACTTTCGCCTGGAGATCATTCGCCTGGAATTCCTTGACAGCCTCAAGCACAGGACAGGCAAGGCAAGGTCGGGGAATCTTGGCGAGAGCAGAGGTTGGGGACACAGAAGGAAGACGTGAACAACCGTGAACGGAGCAGAGGCGGTTCAGAAAGCCAGAGGAAAGCGGTAGAGCAGAAAAATGGATCGGCAGCCCCTTTTAAACCTTATATAAGCAGTATTGTGTACCTGTGTGGTATTACCTAATAAAGGGGAATATATTTTTCTTTCTTGTGTGGATCATTCGGAACAATGCTTGCCTTTCTTTTACAAACATAAAAAATGATAAACCGTTTCATTAAAAATTATCAAATAGATTTTCCCATAATACCTTAAATTTTCCCACGCTACCATTCCATCAATGTAAAAAGGTCATATAAACAGGTTTTAACTCCGTTAACGAGCGTCTACGGCTCGTTACGCACTGAAACGACGGTTCAGATTGTTACATTATGGACTGATTTGTTAGGTTTGGGTATGAGTGAAAATGCTGCTTTCTTAAACAATGACGGAAAGTCCTGTGGCCAAGGAAGTGTTAGATATATGTCTGTGTATCATATTAGGGGGAAGGTGTTGAAGATTTTTTTAAATTTGCTTTGTCCAGGTGTTTTTTTCTGGTGTGTCGTTATACAATATACTATATACAGGCCACGTGGCAACAGACCCACGCCTGGGTACGCCACGAAGCGTCGCGTCCCAATATACTATATACAGGCCACGTGGCAACAGACCCACGCCTGGGTACGCCACGAAGCGTCGCGTCCTAGCTACCCGTCGGCTTGGGTATGCTACCTACCCTCGTCCCCAAGCCAACGCTCGGATATTTAAGGCCTGCATATGACCCCTTTAGTGATGCCTCCGGGCTAGTACAGTGGTAACGTATCGGCCTCTCATCCGAGGGGTCGGCGGTTCGCGCCCCGCCCAGGCGCAAGAAGTTGCAATTGTCGCCTGGAGGTTACTGCTGTGACTGGGCACCACGGTGGGTAAGGACTAAGCCCATTCGAGTCAGCACCTGCTGACACACTGTTAGCGAGTCGACATCAGTCGGCACAGGCCGGTCTCCCCCATAGCTCGGGCGAGGCTCAGCTTCGCATATCGAACTTATCCTTTATCCCTGTAGTCAGAATGTACCTTGCCGGGCCCGAGGTCACACCCCGACCCTCGCGGCCGGTCTGCCCACTGGGCTGAGCTCGCCAGTGACCTTGGGCGACCTCGCGCTAAACCCCAGACTTGTCTCGTTGTGTTTATCCAGCGTGTGCTGAACTCATATCAGTAAAAAGATAAAGCCACTCAAGCTTTTACTATCATGTCGCAAATGTTTAGGGGTTCAATCAATCTTTAACCTTCTTACAGTCGTATTATTTCTGCAATTTCTCTTGATGTGATTGGCGTGTTGAAGGTGTTTGTGCTGTCTAGTAGACTGAAGTCAGTAAAGTTAGAGGGTTGTAGGAGGTGTTGTTACGGTTCTAGTCACAGTCACATAATGCGTATTGGTGGATATCCATTTCATATTTCCTTTGGCGATTTCGAAGCCGATTTTAGTGGTGTCATGGTGACCAAAGCTTTGTGGGTTTGACGTGTAGAGTCTGATGCCTCTATTGCTGTGCCATCCATTAGCCTTTCTTGGCTGTTAGGTTTTGGGTGGCGTATTGGTGGATATCCATAATGCGTATTGGTGGATATCCATTTCATATTTCCTTTGGCGATTTCGAAGCCGATTTTAGTGGTGTCATGGTGATCAAAGCTTTGTGGGTTTGACGTTTAGAGTCTGATGCCTCTATTTGAGTGTGTTTGGGTTTGTTGTTTTTGTTTTGGTCTTACTGCTGCTTGTGTATCTAGTGTTTCTTTGTTTTGTTTCGTATTCTTGTTAGTCTTGTTTTGGTTTGGCATATGTTTCTGCTGATTGGGGTGAGGTTTCTTCTATGCTTGTGTGGGCTGAGAGTTCTTGTATTGTGTTTTCCATCATTTGTCTTGGGCTCTCAGATGCGATGATGGATTAGTGAGGTTGGTGTGGGGAGGGGAAATGATCTTCTGGATGCCCCAGGAATCCGATTCGCCCAGGTCGAGTGGAGGAAGGTTGTTTTTTCTAATGCTTCTTTTCACAATTGATGCATCTCTTATGGGTGCTATTGCAGATTCTGAAATTATGGGTTTTGAGCCACATTCGGTATGGATAGTTTGCTTTTCTTTTCTTCATTCTTTTTTGTTATGGCCATATTCATAGCAGTTCAAGCATTGTTTGATTGGGGTGAACCTTTCAAATTCTATTTGCCATGGAGCGATGACCAGTTTGGACAGGTTATATACCGTTTTCTTTTAGGTCTTTTACTGGTTGGTGGTTGGAAAACCTGACCTTTAATATATATTTCTCTTTTATTATGTAGATGTCATTTACTTGCTGTGGGGTGCTGCTGTGTTGATTTCCTCTTGTTTTTAAATCCTCGGTGACCACTTGCCTGTCTAGTCTTTTAAAGACTAGAGTGAGTCATGCCTTCAAGTTTAGTGGCAAGAGTGGGGTGTTTTGGAGTATGGCATAGTGCCCATCGTGGATGCTGATGAGTTGGAGGAGTCGTATTTATGAGTCAAACAGAATCTATTGCAGCTGATCTCTTTTCTTTGAGGTTGGACCCACAAGCTGTGGTTATATTTATTTTCGTCATTCTTTACTTTTTTCATCCTGCCTGAACCCAAGAAGCTCCAGCCCTGGGCAATTACATCTCCCCCAATCCAATGTGCACTTGACACACGGGAAAAGTCGAAGGGAGGTTGCCCTGGGTGTCCTCAGGGCACCCTGTGAGGGGACCTAGGCCCCTTTGCGTTACACTATAGTTTTGGCTGAAGATCCCTGCCTGTCTATCCCTTTCAGCACAGATGGGGGACTGGTGTCACGTATGTGGTAATGTGTTTGTGTAAGTGTTGTGTAGATGGAGCAACCACAAGTTGCACGACCAGTGCCTGAGGCAGAAAGCAGGCTCTTTGATGGTTCAGAGAACCATTGATTGGTGGGAGGACAGAGGTCAGCAGGTGGCCCACTAATGGCTTGTGGTGTTGTAGAAATGCTGAGTTGTCATGAGAGTGACTCTCTTAGCGTGGTTGTATTGCCGGGATGGCGAGCAGTGCGGTCTGACATCTGACCCTGTGGGCAGACCGAGTGAGACCTAGGTAACTGATCTGAACCTGAGAGTGATTCACTGTCGATCTGAGTCTCTGACTGTCTTAACAGCAGCACAGGTTTCCTGGATCTGACCACCTGACTCTCTGAGACCTTTCACCTCTGAGTAATCTTAACCTCCACCTGACTGACTATTTGTCATGCGTCTGATATCGCGGCTTGTGTACATGTGCGCTTGCAAGAGTACAGGAAATGAAGGGAGCCGGCTGTCCAATAAGCACGGACATGGCTGTGGACCTGTTGTGACCTAACCTGGATAACATTGCTGAACTTCAGGTTGCGGGGTTGTGCTGCTACAGGTACTCCACCTCCAGAGAGTGAGCTAAGCGAGCAAGCAAAATACCATGACGTGTCACTCCGGTTGACTAGGTGCAGAGGCAATTATGCCGAACGAGACTACACTGCACCGGTGATGAGGTGCTTGTGGCGTCCTGCGAGGGCAAGAATGGCATCTGCAGCCGTGTACGCTGATTGGCCAAACAGCTGGTGTCAGAGCCACTCTGGGGTCACCAGTGTAGTACATGGTTATCACATCAGCTACTTGGACTGATCTATATCTCTTTATGGAGTGATTGAGGGTGTGAGTACCTGTAGCAGCACGAC